CGCTGGCTCTGCCTTGCGACCGCCACCCGCCGCCGCTCTGCGGCTTTCCCTGGTTTCGCCCCTTCCTGCCACCGTGACAAATACACGCGCAGCTGCCGCAAAACCCGCTTGCGACCCAAAAATACTACCTCTGTCACCGTGTTCAGCGTTTGCTGTTGCTTCTGAAGAGTCGCTGCGTTTCGCTTTCTTTTTGCGCGTCCTCCCTGTATCCTGCCCGCTGCCTGTATTTGACTAGTATTGAGGTGTCTCTCTCATGTCAGATGATGTGAAGGACGCAAATACACAACCAACATCCAGACAGTTACAGAGACACCCTGCTTTAACCGGGAACCGGCGATGTGCAAATGTTTGAATGTCTCTATAAAGTGACAAACAGTGTCTTGTGTGCCGCTCTTTCTGTTTGGATTATAGCATGCCTGTCTTCTTTTACTAGAAAAGCTGCCAGACTGAGAAAATTTCAACAGCAGAAGCTGTGGTACAGGCTCATACGAACCAAGATGCTGGTGTGCAGACTGATCAAAGTAAAGATGCTGTCCAAGACTTCCAGCAAGAAGTCCAAGTAGATTACACTCGCTTGTTATCATTCCTTCAGAGAGTGGAGGCTGTTGTTATCAAAGAACTAAATAAAAACTGGAAAAGTCATGCCTTTGATGGCTTTGAAGTGAACTGGACAGATCAGAATGAAACAGTAAGTTGACAGACTTAAGCTCCTTGTCGTTACCCGAGCAGAGCTGGTTGCGGTGGCTCTAATGTGTTAGTTCTGTTTCTTACTACTAGGATTGTTCTTGCCGGATTTTAATGATTAGAAATTTCAAGTCTTTTTCTCCATCTTTCTCCTTTACTTGCAGCCTGACCTTGCCTGGTAAAACTGTGCTTGCTGTTAGTGGCTGTGTTGCAGCAGCTTTGTGAGAGAGAAGCCTCCAGTTGGTATTAGCTTACCTTCAGTTTCCACTAGCCCCTTTAGAGCATGCCAGACTAGTAGTTGTCTAGGAACAGTTGAAGTCAGTGATTTGGCAGCTGTTCCCATTTGGATTATATTTGTTTAGTGTGCAGTGTGCAAGAGCGGAGGCAATTTGTATCTGTCTGTGCATGTTGGTACAGTCATTTTCAAACCATTGCTTGTAAGCTCAGCGAGCGCAACAGGCTGCTCTAAGTCCTTACGGCCTGGCCTTCCAGACTTTCTTCTTGCAGCCCCCGAAGTGTGCAGGCTCTGAGTGGTAATTATGAAAGGACTGGTTGTTCTGGTAGGGTCACGTGGAGTTTATTTCCCCCAGGAGGAACCGAGCTTCTTTTTCACATATATCTCTATATGCTGTATAGGCAGAGGGGAAGCCCGGGTTCTCACCGTATGATCACATGCAGAAGCAAAAGAGAGATCCTCTCCGTGTGTTCGGAGAGATTCAGTGCTGGGATTTGATCTCTCGTAGGTGTTGTGTTTGCATACGTTGTCATACCCAGAGGCTCAGGATCAAAAACTACAGGTCACCAGTGTCTCGTGGAACGCAACAGGATCTGTCGTTGCGTGTTCGTATGGCCGGTGAGTATCTGAACGGACTGAGAGTGACTGACGTTTCAGGCTGACCTGCGTTTTAGATATGTTCACTTTCTCTACGACAATAAACCAGACGTAAATGCACCTTATTCACATTAAAAAACTTGATCCATATTCAAAAAAACAAGTCTCAGGGCAATCTTAAATTATGACTTTTTATTACTATTATTTAGAAAATGGATACATATGTTCTTACATTGTTTCCAAATAGATTCTATTTGGAAAGAAAATGTAAAGAGCAGATGCACTTGCAAATATACGTGGGTGAGGTTTGGAAGTGCATGCTTATGTTCATCAAAGATCTTGCTGCTTTAATGTGGACTCTTAGCATATTAGATGCACCTGGCATCTTTTCACACATGCGCCTAATGCCGCGGACATGTGCTAACAATCATTTAAGCGTATGTAGGCCCTCTCTAAAATGAGTGTTGGACAGAACATTCATCTAATCCAACAAGTATCTATAGCAGCATCTCTTTTTTGTGCCTTACTGCTACCCTTATTCCTTTTTCCTTCCACTACTGTTTTCTTAGACTAAAAGCCCCGCAAAAAGAGTAGCCGTGAGTGAACGCGTAGGGAAGAATAAAACAGGGCAAACACGTATGTTACTTGCCCCTGCTACTCTCCCAGGCTACAACTATTGTCAAATGACAACGCGGTTTCTGTGTGTATGGTTACTCTCGGTAGACTTCCCTTCCACGAGCAGAGGTGCAGTCTCTCTATGAATCTGTGTAAGCTTTTAGAATCTGCAACATCCTTTAATAAGGAGTTTCACAAGTCAGCTACTCATTGCATGAGGAATTGCTCTTTTTATTTGCTGTCTATCTCAAACACTCCCTCCGTACAAGAATTAGAAGCATCAAATAAAGGCGGTACAGGTCAGGCTCACAACAACTGCTTCCTGTCCTGGTCACTCACTGTTCTGTAGATCTCTGTCCTTCACATCATTTCCTTGCAGCAAGACAAGACATCATGTCAGTGTGGTGCTAATGACAGAGTACATGGAGCTACTGCAAGTAGGCCCTCTGCCAGCACCGCCTGCCCCCCGACATAACTACTTACTGTTACCCTCACTTGTCTGAACAACTTTTCAGATATGCTAGCTCAAAGTACCGTCTTTTGGGAAACCTTTAACTTCAGAAAATGGGTAACACCACAGGTATTCACTGGGGTCTAGAGTAGTAAACGTGCAGGTGTCTTGTTACTTCTGCTCTGGGCAGATGGCGGCTTGTGGCAGTCGTTATTTTGGATTTGTTCTATCCGTTGTCTCAAAAGAGGGTTATATTTTGATAAGCATGCAATGAATGAAACAGCTATGAGTAACAAAGAAAGTAGAGTGGCAGATGTCTTTTAGAATCCCCAAATGAAAAGATTCATGAGAGCCGCTTATTTGTGGCAAACAAGTATTATTGAAATGTGTAGAGCTGGAGCGCGTAGCATGATTCGTGTGAGGTAACCAACTCTATTTGGTGGTTGCAAAGAAAGTTCTATGTTCCTGTGCAGGCGTCCAGACTTCAAGTCATGCTGCTTAGCTCAGGCCAAGAAAGACTCGGTAAGTCTTTTCAGCCCTTATCAGTCCTCCAGGCAAGACGTTTCCTCTCTGTGTGTTCTCAGATCCTGGATCTTTTGAGTGCTTTAACTTAAAAAAGAAACTTTCTTTGGATTTTGATTCTCAAATATTCATAGCAACTTTCTGTAACGTGCCCCTTAGATTGTTCCGATTATTTGAACGGTTAATAGATCTTGGGATAGTGAATCATACCTGAGATTTACTTGCAGGCGCTTTGTTCTGTAGGTGCGCTGACGTGTACGGTAAATATACTAGCCTGCAAAGAGGTTTCATCACCTCATGATCTCTTGACCTCAGTTTTCCTTTTATCCACAAAACAGCACATGCTTAAATGATGAATGGAACATACCAGAGCTCCTCTGGACTGGGAGCCTGGGTGTAGCAGACAAGATGAGCTGTAGCTTTCTCTTCTTCAGGTTGGACGATGGGGACTGGGGCTCAGAAAAGTCCTATGTTTGTACCTGGAATCTGGACAGAAGAGGGTTGAATCCGCAACGCCCTGACCTAGTGGTGGATGTTCCCAGTTCTGTAATGTGCCTGGCTTTCCATCCCTCCCAGCCTTCACTGATCGTTGGTAGGTTGCTCTTGCCTTAGCCCTTACTTGAAATGTTCCCATACTTACTGTAGTTTGGATCTTTTTTTTCTTTTTTTCCTTTCAGCTCAACCTAAGATTTCTTGCAAAAGTAAGGGTTTTGTAGCTCCTGAGCTGATGGAACTAAGGCTCACTAATGCACCTAAATGCACTGTTGCGTATGGACCCTGGGACTTAGCTCTTTTTCAGTAAAGTCTGCCTTTATATCATCTTCTCAGAGAGAGATGGTAAAGGCCAATTCAGCTCCGGTTGTAAGTAGGAAGAATTATTTCAGTAGCAATGCATTCTCTTACACCAGAGCTGACTGTGCCCTCTGTATGGCTGCCAGTCCCCTGCCTGTTTCCACATTCATTTATGTTCCTGTCCCTTTCTGTGCAGGACTGTTCTTCCCAGGGCTCTGGTCATAGTCACTAGCAATCCTAAGCAACGAGAAACACTATCCGCAGTTCTGTTCTAATAACAGCACAAAGTGCCCTATGCATTTTTCATGTTACGCACTGCTAGACCTTACTTACATTTAATTGGTATATTTGTCTTTTTTAGGCGGCCTTTTCAGTGGAGAAGTGGTAGTATGGGATACCAGCAGAATAGAAGACCCCTTGATCTTGAGGACAGGGATGACAGATGATACACACACTGATCCAGTCTATCAGGTAACAGAGCCTATCCGCAGCAGATGTTGTTGGGGAAGGAGAGAGCTGCCATTGCTCATTCCTTCCGTTCTCATACATCTCGCTGGTGGTGCTGCACGTGAAGGTCTCAGGCAGGCTGCTATGTTTCAGCACTTGTGGGCTCTTTTGACTGGCTCAGTTGGCTATTTTTTTTCCCCACAGCTAAACACAGGCATGCCACTGAACGAGCATTTGCTGAATTAAGACACTTTACCTGTAAAAATAACGTCGTGCTGTTCAGGATAAATGAAGAGAGGGCCCATGCCCATTTTGTAACTGTTTACTGGTGCAGGTGAAGCCAACACTATTTGTAGTCTTTTAAAGACACAAGCAGCAAATTAGCGGTGATCCTTAGTTGGGAGCTTAAAGCTATACAGAGGGTCACTATTTGTTCTTGCAGTCTGGCTTCACTGGCAATTTGACTGATCCTTCAGAGCTCCCTGACTTATACCTGAGTGCAAGTTGCTGATTCTTTCCTGCTAGCTAAAATCATCTTCTCCTTTTTAGGAGCACTCACTTAATACTTCTAGGTCTGCTGTCCTGCTGGAAAATGCTGGCAGATGAAGTGCAGAAATCGAAATACAAAATTCAGCCCTGACCATGTGAATGCTTTCTCTCCTAGCATCTATGGCTGTGTGCAAGCACCTAGTAGAAGCTGGTTTGATACCAAGATTACCGAACATCACTTGGTGCTGTTCCTGTGTTGTCTTGCTGGGACAGTGGCCAGCAGGTTGCTGGGCACGTGCATGGCAAGTCTGACAGCCCCCCCCCCTTCCTGAACTTGTGTTTGGAGTAGGTTAACTGGTTACCAGATGTGAAGCACAGAAACCACTTTCAGCTCTTGAGCGCATCCACAGATGGAAAGATCCTGGTGTGGCGAGAGGCGCAAGACGGCTGTCTGGCCTTGGCTGAAGGATTTGCCATGGTGGCTCAGCAGATCCCTCGCAGCATTCAGCTGAAGAAGGTGAGTTTGGTAGTTTCAAGAGGGCTGATCGGACAAAAACCACTCAGTAACGCTGGAGCCCGGTGGCAGAGCATGTATTTGCCATGAGGAGGACAAGGTAAAGGCCCTTCTGAACATCCATGCTAACCCTTGATCCCCATATCTCCCTTCCCATACTGTAACCGCTCCTTGGAGGACTGGTGACAGCCGAGAGTCTAAAGCAAAGCTGCTAGAATGGGGCAGAGAACTGTCTTGCTTGTAATATTAAATCACATAAACCCACTTGTTGGAGGATACTCTAGGGGGTTGAAGGCTGAACGGTGCTGCAAATATCAGAGCTGGTGCAAGCTGTGCAGCAAACAACTCATTGGGTCCTTGACAGACTGGTTCATGCCACTGCGACTGCACGTGCGCTACATTGGAGACCGTAGGTTTGTCTCTTTTTCTTTTAGCTTGCTTGGGGAGAGGCTGCTGTGGGCGTGACCTCGCTCTCTTTTTCACACTTTGATCCCCGTGTGTTCATTGTTGGTGTGGAAGGCGGCTATTCCCTGAAGTGCTCCACGGCAGTAGAGACTGAGGCTCTCCACCGGACAGGCAGTTCTGTTCCCCTCAGGGCCCCAGCAGAGCTTGCCTTTTCCCCACATGGAGGACCAGTGTATTCTGTGAGCTGCTCACCCTTCCACAGGCAAGTGCCATAAAAAAGTGGATTGCACGCTGGATTATATGCGTGGGGTTTTTTGTTTTTTTTTTTTCCCCCCTCTCTCTCCAAGTGGCCCCCCGAGGGTACAGGATCCAAAAAAAGGGTCTCCTGGCACCTTGAATTTGACACAGTACCTTCCCATGGCAGCAGAAACCAAAGCGCCCGTGAAGCTGCCCACTTGAACGTGCGCCATGGGGGCACAACCTGAATGATACCAAATAGTGTTTCGACCCAGGCCAGTGTAGACCATAACACTTGCCTTCAGGTTGCGTTACTACTAAAAAGCAGTTTGAAGTCAAGGGGAGGTGCTGAAGAACAGTAATTTATTTCATCAGCACTAAAGCGATGTGCCCTTCACACATCTTACTAGTAGCTGCCCAAGTTTAAATTAGAAGTTCACATCTCTGCCTGCAGTTTACCCAGCATCCATTTAAGAGGCCGCAAGCCATCTTTCCATGAAACATGCTGACAGCCCAGGTTTGCATTTAATTTGCATTGGACAAACACGCCTAAACAATGGCTCTCTCTAGATCAGCAGTTCCCAGGCATCTCTGGCCCACAAACCACCATCAATCAATACTCAGTGGACAACATGAGCCCTCATTAAACTTAATTGAGGGCACTAACAAAGCTATGCTTCTACAGACCAGCTGTAGGCCATGTCCCAGAGTACAGCTTGGGAATCGCTGCTTTAAGAAACACATATTCACACCTTTGCAAAACAGTAATACCGGCCCAGGTCATGCTTCTTGATCGAGCTTTACTCTATAGCCTTATACTACAGCCTATAAAGCGCATCTCCCCCTTTTTCCTCCCCCCCCCCAGGAATCTCTTTCTGAGCTGTGGGACTGATGGACACGTTCACTTACATTCCATGTTGCAGGCACAACCCCTTATTTCTCTTCAGTTATCAAAAAAATACCTCTTCTGTGTTCGGTGGTCTCCAGTACGACCACTGGTCTTCGCAGCTGCTTCTGGGGAAGGCAAGTATCTGTAGGTGCCTATTCTTAAGACAGAAAATGAAGGTTTTGTGCTGGATATTTCTTAATTAACACAAGTCAATTATACTGATTAGCATTTCCCACTGAGAGCAATCACCATTGTTTGTACCACACCATTAGTATAATGGAGTCATTTCTAACTCCCAAGACTTCAGTAGCAGTTATTTTTCAGTTTTGATCATACCTTTATTGCTGTTGCTACCGCTTTTCACTTGTAGGTGAAAATGCATGGATGTAGCATGGCAAGATTACTGTAGCTAAAACTTATTTCCAGACTTCTTGTTTTTGGCATTTACTTCTACTGCTAATAGTTTAAAACCAGACCTCCTTAGAAAATTGCCCCAAATAGATTTGAGTTAAGGAATGGACGTTTCAGAGAATTTTGGCAAGCTAGTTTCGGCTCTGGCCGTAGAATGAGAGGTCTGCACTGTCTTGCAGGGATGCCAGGTGTCAGTCACAGTCTAGACTCCATCAGAGGGAAAGGGGGAACAGGTCAAAACAAAACGAAACAGCACTACAAGTGCCAGACTAAGGAATATCTAATCTACTGTTCTTAAATACAAAGGCTGTTACACCATACAGATGTGATGAGAAGTATTTGTGTTTTAAAGGAGATGTGCAGCTCTTTGACTTTGAGAAGAGCTCCCAGAAGCCTGCTGTTTCCATAAAGCAGACCACGGGTGAGAGCCCTGTGTACTGTTTAGAATTCAACATCAAGCAAACTCAGCTCTTGGCAGCGGGAGATGCCACCGGCACAGTCAAAGTCTGGCAGCTCAGTTCTGACTTTACTGAGCAGGGACCCAGGGAAATGAATCACCTGGAGCAGCTGGCAAGTGAGGTCACAGACTGAGAGCGCAACATAACCAGCTGTTTGAAGCCTGTTACAACTCTGACTCCAGGAAAAGTTGCCCATTCACCTCGTCCATAGAGTTGGCCTGTAAAACACACCTAATTACAACAGCTGGCGTTTCATCCAAACAACAGTTGAATTTGTATTTAACCATTAAACACAAGATGATATATTTGGACCAGTAACTTTTATTGAAGCACACTGCAATATGTTTGTTTTCCCTAAGAGAGTTTTAAGCTAAGCAGTTTAAGGTTACATCATAAAGTAACATTGATTATTGTAGAGCACAAAGAGAGAGAGACGCATGCAGAGCTATAGTCGGCAAACGTGAGCATGTTCTTTGCATCTTTTGGTACTAGTGTTTTGTATCAATTCACAAAAAGTGAACGTGTAAATTCTATGTAGTCATAGGCAGAAGGAAGTTCTCTGCCCTTGCCGTCCATGTAGGGCTTCATGTGAGAAATGCAGTAATCGGCTTGTTCCCTGGTGAGGTTCTGAAAGACAAAGAGAGTGCTGAGGTGGAGCAGGCACTTTGTGGCTGTAGGAGGCATTTACAGGCAGCCCTCCCATTCCTAGAGGCATGCAGCTTGGAGCAGAAGCCACAGCACCAGAGTTACAACTGGCACAGAAACGTTCTGGCTGTTTCTGTTTGCACTATTTGGCTAGAGGCTGGAAGGTTTGACCTGAGTTTTCCCACCAAAGACAGAACAGGTAACTGATATGAGGAAGGAAAGCAACCTCTTTCTTTCTCTGCCAGCTAGTGGGATTCAGACAGGAAAAACCTGCTGCCTTGGCAGGGAAGTGAGAGGGAGGAGGCGTTCATCCAGTCTAAGCTTTAGATGCTTAAGTTCCTCCTTTGAATCATCGTCTGGAGAAACGTCTCCCTCTAGTCTCCCAAACAAAGGAAGCATAAGTTTCGGAGGACAGGCACTGTGAATATCCTCCCTTCCGCAGCGCCACCCCTCCCCACCCCCTTTTTTAAATTTAAATGAAGTAGTTCTCTCTCTCCCTCTTTTTTTTTTTTTTAAAAAAAAAAAAAAACACTTAATCCCAGTAGTGCTTTGGCAGTCAAAGCTTTTCCTCTTCATATAGCCAAGGCAGCTGGGTAGGTTTGCTACCATCACTTCTCTGTTTGCTGCAGAGGACACCTCTGCAGATTCAGAGCTGACTCAACTATAGTGACATGAACCTCCCAGCAATGAGCAAGTGCTGTTTTTTGTGTCCGGAAAGCATCCATCTTTCCTCCCCAACGGGCCACAATAGATACTTACTTGATAGAGTTCCTCCTTGGTCACATAGGGCTTCCCCTCTGAACTGAGGGCACGGAAAGCGCTCTCGATCTCCTCGCTGGATTTCACATTCTCAGTTTCCCTGCTGATCATAAACGCCATGTACTCCTGCAGCGAGACGTGTCCATCCCTGCCAGTGAAACAAACAGCGTGTGAACACTGCCATCCAATAATACTCAGAAGACAGCACTTCCAGACATACCCTTTTGAGAGCAGACTTAGCTGTTCCGGGAGTAGTGAAAAGCCTAACGCAGGCGACTACATCACCTCCAGGTCGTTTCCTAAACTAAATTTCTCTTTCACAAATATCAGTCTTACCTTCATGGAGACTCTTTTACATGAATTGTTATGAAAACAACCAGAGCCGCCTCCATAGCAAGACAAAACCAAAGCTCTCAGGCTGTGACAGGCTTTCCGGCCAAAACCACAAACGATACCTATACAACATTTTGTAGCAGAAGAATAAAACGTCCCAACCCACATACCTGTTAGGATCTACAGTGTCAAGAATAGACTCAAATTCTGGGTCCGGCTCTCCTTCCTCAACCATAGGAAGGTCGTATCCAAGAGAGCGCAAGCAAGACTTAAACTCTTGGTGATTAAGACGTCCAGATTTATCCTTGTCAAAGTGCCTAAAAACACAAAAATCAAGAACTCGTGCGTTTTAAGTGTCAGTCTTTGTAATATCTGACTGAAAGCTACACAGTGGGCTGAACCTGGAACAGATTATAACCAGTCCTCATTTGTCCTGGACAAATGAGTTCGAATCAATAAGCATTTCATATCTAACATATGTCAGATGTAAGCACAAATTCTTTACATTGCTGAAAAAGCAGCAAAAAACCCAGCTGTATCCCCCCAGCTGTATCCCCCCAGCTAAGATTCCTTGGTATTGAGAGTTCCTTCACCGCTGTGCCCGCAACCAAATGCGCACAGCAGAGCCTCTAGTGTAGCCGCAGCCAGGCAGCAGCGAGCGTAGCTGGAGGCTCTTGCCATCTGGCAGAGATCAGAGCAGCTCAGCACAAAATTGAGCAGACAGTAAAGGAGCTGCACACAGATCAGTTGGATTATCCTAACTGTGAATGCGGGCCATCCACGTGCCAAAAGTATCTTCACAAGCATTCCTCTGGCACGCTTTCCCTGTAACTCACTTGAACATCATGCTGAACTCCTTCAGGGCCTCCTCGGTGACTCCAGTTGTGTTTCTGAAAAGGAAGAAGCAAAGCTAGTGAGCAGTTCCTGAATCACAGAACTCTGCTGGAGTTAGTCTGTCCCAAGCCAACCATCTGCATTAGAAGGTGAGGACAAACGATCAGAATCACCAGTTCTCTGAGATGTCATCGTTGCTAATCACCAACAGGAACTATTTCCCAAATTCCCAACTGCACCCCTCTGAAGAGGGCCAGAAGATAGCGGGGACTCTCGGGCTTTCTACACTGCTGCAGATATTAGTCAGAACATAGGAGAGACCCATCGGCACAGACCATCGGCAGAGGTTTGTTTTTAGACAGACAGACATGCCATATTTTACCCTCCCACCCATGAGTTAGACACACTTTATACTGCACAGGGGGTAGGTAGTACCGGGCTTGTATCTGCTGTTCCAGGTTGTGCTGCATTCTCATTCCCAGCTGGTCAAGCTGGTCCCACTGCTGCGCCAGCCCCACAGTGCTGTGTTCTGTGTATTTGTTGTCCAAGATAAGTGCCTCTTCCATAGCTGCTCCAAGGTCCTCGATCTTCTTGAGCTGGCTCCTCATAGCTCGAATCTCCTGGTGCTTGCGCTATTAGGAGAGAGCAAAGAGGAGGTTATCAAGGAACGCAAAAAAAGAGTAAGCGTGTTAGAACACAGGCTCGTGTATGTTCTTTTCTGCTGTCACGCTATTCTTTTTGTCTGCTAAGATTATATTTTTACACATATATACTGGGATCTGTAAAAAGAGTACTCAAAATAATTTCTTCCTCAGGTATATTGTTATTGGAAACCAACAGGGTCTGCAAACGAGTTCCTGAGGCAAAAATAAATTTTATTAGGAAAAGTTCTGAAAATACTGTATCCTGTCTGCCTTATGCCACTCTCTTAGAAAAGAGGAGCAAAAAGAAAAACGATGTTGAAGTGCTATTTAATGGCTCGTGATATAAGCAGACCTCAGATACGTAGGTAGATAATCCCAATGATCTCTTTGGTATTCAAAAACGTACAAAATCAATTAAGATTTTACCAGGTAATTACATGTAGTTCCATTCCTGCCCTGTGGTCCTGACTATATCTTGGGAAAAGCATTAACAACAGGTGAGCACTGCTTACTTTAGTAGCTTCCAACTGTGATTCCAGCGTTCCCGACTCCTCCACCATACAAGACCTAAACAGAGAGTCACAGTGAGAGAGAGCACTTATCCTGTCCAAAATGGCAGGTGGGGCTTGAAATTAACAGTCCTTCTTACAGCAGTAAAATTCTCCTGTAGATATTTTAACATTGGTTTTGTTGGATTCTGACTCATCCTACGTAAGGCAGGCACAGGTACATCTCGTTTAGATCTTATTCCTTTATATAGTTAATTTCTAGCCCCATTTGAAAGGCAACATGATCAGTAGCCACACTTCATGCCAAATCCAAAAGCACCCACTGTATCGGGCCTAAAATAATTAGAAACTTGGTGCAGTCCTGCCCCACTCCACTGTGCTCAACACACACACACACGCATGAACTACAGGTGATTCACTGGAGCTGTATTTGCTGTTAAGATACAGGAGCGCTAGAGGTGTGTTACAAGGGCGGGGGTGGGGAAACATGGAAAAAGACCTCTTGAAAACTACTGGTTTGGTTTAAATGTGATGTTAATATGGCATATTCACTGCAGAAGACTGAAGAGCTCCCCTGCACCGCGGTGCTGGGTGGAACGTTGCTTCTCCCTCCCCGCCGCTCCCGTCCTGTGCCGGAGAAGCTGAGGCAGCGCCACTTATCCCAGTTCGAGTTCCACGCTGAGCTGCTCGGCGCACAGCGGCCACCCCCACGAGCAGGTGACACCACCGCTGCGGTCGTGGTCTCCACGATCCACTTTGTATGGACTAGCTACAGAAAGTCTCTGGCTGTTGCTCTTTCCCCTTAAGATCCTAAGCAGCGTTTAGCACCAGTTTTTAAGAACCTCTGTCCTTTTAACATTTACGGTGAGAGTTCATACCACATGACCTGCGTACAGACAGCAAGCGTGGGTGCTGCGCCGATGGGCTGTGCTGTGTTTCTGACCCTGGGGAATCCTGTCACTAAAACTGGGTTCTCACCCCCACCAAAACCTATCACCCTCCTCAACGCTCCCGAGCTTCTCGGAGGAGGGTTTCAAGTGCTGAATCACCCTGTAGCAATGAAAATGCGCCAAACAACTGAGTGTTTCTCACCGCAGGGTTAAGGCTCAGAACGCATGTTTAAAGAGGTGAAGCGCAGGCCCTCAGCCCTGAGCAGGAGGCTGCGGACTAACCACGGGAAGGGAAACAAGCCTCCAAACATCTCTAAGCAGTGACAGTTAGTTAGAAGGAAAGCGAGCCTTGGAATTAAGAGTGCATTTGAAAACCAAAGTGAGGTAAGAAAATAAGAGGAAAAAACCTTCCAGATAGATCATCCCCAACTTCATACTGATAGACACGAATGACACGACGATATGCTATGCTAGTCAAAGAAAAGAAACCAGGTAAATTCCAACATGGAAGAGGAAAGAACAGCGGAAAGAACATGCCCAAACACGGCCACCGCAGTGGAGCCACACTCCAAGCTAACGCCCCCTTGTAGCAAACAA